CTGGTCCCACCTACCGTTGTCGAGTTTAGAAAACGTAAGGGTGTGACGCCATTTCGACATTAATAAATTCGAAACAAGAAATTAAAAAACTGAAAAAAAACGCTAGAAAGAGCTTTTCTCCTTATTTTTTATATCGTAACTCGGAGAAATGAAACATGTCTGGAACAGTCGGAGTGAATGTCTCCGTGAAAAAGGGATACTCCCCGTGGTGAGGGGACAGGAGGTCACCATTTGTAAAATGGACACGGACGTGGATGGCCAAATGCATTCATTGCCCAAAGAAGGAAACGAGTTTGATGCCAGACAGCCAAAAACAGCTGTCAGAGTTCCTCCGTTTCAGGATGCAATGATGTCTAAAAAACCAAAAAAAAGGAAAGGCACTCCAGTTGAGAAATGTACCCTACCGAAGCTTTCTCAATGGAAAATGGTTTCCCGCCCATACCAAAAGGGCCAAAGCATACTACAAAACGGATTTCACGTCAAAGAAAAATTCTACAAAATGACAAAATCCAATAGGTTATTCTCGTGGATTTCGGTACCATTAGATCGCAATACATCAACGACAGAGCTCCGTCCCACCATGCCACACGTGATAGAAAGCTCAGCGTTGAGAAAACTCAACGCTGTAGGTGGGACCAGACCCCTGGTACCCAAGTGAAATAAAAAGCACCACAAACACATGCATGACAGATATCTGATATAGCCTTTTTTTTCACAGTTCTGATCAGTGCGAGGAACGAGCCCTCAAGGGGCCTTCTCAGACATCACATGTTCTGGCCTAAGGCCCCAGCAAGCCGAGTGCCCGCCCTAAGTGAAGGTGGGCCTGAATATTCGTCAAAGGCCAAATTTTGATATTTCCATATGTGGGTATTCAGGCTCTCGCAGCACGCCAGTTGGTTGAGAAGACGCGTGAGCCTCACTAAGCTGCGTTGTACAGTTGGCCCAGGCCTTCACAGTTGCGCCTGGGCACATACACACAAAGCAGGGCCGATGCATTGGGAAGCAGGCCATCGGCCTTTGGAAAAGCAGTACTGCCGATGCACCTACCTGGGAGCCCTGCACGGATGCAGCAAACAGCCCAAGTCCGGAGACTCAGGCCGTGCCTAACTAAAAAGGGCCCAGGCCCTCAACTGTAGTCTCGGGCCTGGGCGCAGGGTCTGAGGCCCAACCGGGAGCTACTGGAAGCTTCCAGCCAGGCCACACGCAGCATCCAGGAGGCTGCCACTTCCATAAAAGAAGTGAGGCAGCCCAGGCCAGGGATGCTGGCCAGTGCAGGCAATGCGGAAGTGCTGCTGTGCTACTGCTTGATGCTGAGCTGCTGCCAAGGGCGCTGACGGGGCACGTAGTGGTGAAGTAGGGCGCTACAGGGCAGTGGGCGCAGGCAGCCATAGCCGGGCTGCTGGGCGCCAGGGGGTAAGCGTGCAATCTGCTGGTCTTCAGGGAAGCAGGCGAGTGTGGGGTTATCAAGGTCTGATTGAGGGTGACGAGATACATACCCGGTGCATGAAGAGAGGTCGGCTATGGTGTTGACAGTCATGTACATTGGTCTTCGTGAGTCGAAGTGAGCCTGTTGAGTGAACCAGCTGTAGGTAGGATAGTCGGGTAGAGTAGGCTGGGCGCTGGGCGCCAGACAGAGGGGAGCAACTTTGGATACTGTGTTGGTGTGGCCTATGGGCTTGAACATTGGCTCATTACTTCATTGTATTGCTCCATATGGATCGTTTCTCGGTGCATTTTGTACTCCCTGCTTGAACACGACTACCTGGACAGCTGTGTGATTTCGCAACTTGGTTTTCTGTATATCGTTCACACTCGTATTCCTTGCAATTTGGTATCGGAGCTGGTTCGTGATCGCCGCTTACCTGTCACCGGCGACATTGTTACTTGCTGCACTGACGATGCTTCATGTGTAGTAAGGATACTTTGGCGATGGTTTGATTGAGCGGGGCCTAGGTGGAGAGGCCGGCCATTGGAAGGCTGTGGCGACAGCGTGGGAGCTGTGACGACAGTGGATGTATGTATGATGATGAGAGTATGCTGATGTGGCATTTTGGCTGAGGTGGCACTGCATTGTGTTGTGGGTGGTACCGAGGATATTGACCGGTCATCGAAATGCATGTCAGCCCTATTGGTGAGAAATCTGTGGTTGGGGGCAGCTATCTCCAGGTACGTTGTTCCCATTCCTTATCTACCCTCTCAATCTCTTCTTACCGTGAGGAAGTGAGTCCAACTTGAGTGTCCTCTCTTTGGTGAGGAGTCGTGCGCGCTCTACCTTGAGAGACGACATTCTTCCCGGTGGCACATCTG